TGGAGGAAATCTGTAATGTTGCCACATGAGCCCCCAGCTAAGAGAGGTCAGGCTGTACAGCAACACTCTCAGTCTATGCCTGTCAGAGCTTACTTCAGGTCAGGAATAAGGATTACACCTTCTTTGAGTATTATGCACATTTTGTTCATTCCAGTTTTAGTGACAGGAGAGGGGGCTGAAACGGGCAGCCGTGAGTCTCAAAACTATGAAAAATTGCACTCCTACACTTGTACGCCCCCATGTTTGCTGCAGTTAAGATCAGGAAACTCGCTGAAGCACTATATTAACCTTGGACCCAATCAACCTAGCAGGGTTATAGTTGAAACTCACAGGGTTTGATGCCCGCCTGCTTTAGGTCATATTATCCTGGAAGAAATTTAATTCCATGTGAATGTAGAATTGGAAAAGAAAAAGACTACTGATAGATTTCGCTACTGGTACTGTTCACTTTCATGATCAGCACATCACTTTATATTTACATTTGACATGCTTTAAGTAGCAAATATATTTTCATGTCTTGAATCCATATATTTATATTGTGCCATCACCTTTCTGTTCAAAAAGCAATGTCTGACTCTTAGAACAAACAGTGGATATGCCGCATTAAGTTGCAGGGTTTGCCATTTATTTAAAAGAAAAAAACCACCACTAATAAAGTTTAACATCAGGATCTACTCAGTCATAAAGTCCTGATAGACTCTGGGTAAACCAGGGCTGAGACTACTGGGAAGGTTTATAATTTGTCTTGAGACCTCCCAACTGCAGCTGACTAACTCCCGCCACAAAAGACAAACTAAAAACAAGAAAATATCTGATGACTTTCTGTTTTTCTAGAACAACCAACATCATTTATGAGCCATTATGTAATGACAAAGGCATTATCAATTGAAAAACTGTCTTGCAAAACATCATAAATAAACATTTCTGGTTTACAAACAGGAAACCAGAAATAATACTGTTGAAGTTAAGAGGATGGGGTTAGATTCTTGAAAGCTAAGCAATCAGGTCTTTCTTCCCCCCTCCCTCAAACTAGTTGAATAGCTTAAAGCTGCATTAATTTATTAGCTAATGCATTTTATTTTCTCTGCTCATTTATAGCTACAATACCAGTTTAAAAAAAAAAGAAAAAGAAAAAAAGAACAGCAATAAAAAAGAAGCAGACAAAACCAGGAAAAAATGAGGGGACTGACACTTTAGAACACAGGAATTACTCTGGATGAATCTAGAGGCTGAGAAAGTCCAGGACCCAATCACCAAATATAGTCAACTGTAGATATTTCAGAGAAGGATGCAAAACCACCATGAAAAAAATCCTTCAGTGGGGGGAGAGGGGCAGTATCTTTCTAACTCCATGTAGTTAAGTGGTTGATTTATACCATGAAACATGAAGTGTTTTATCTCTTATAAAGGTAATATAGACTTGATTTGATTTAACTGAACAACTCTCTTGGCAGTGATAAATACTATAGGACCAAATTTTGTTTTCACGTCAGTGTGCATCTGAGATATACCACTGATTTCACTGGTTATCAGTGGGGCTGACACTGAAGTCAGTAAAGTTTTAACACTAACTTCCTCAGAGCAGGATTTAGTCCTTTTTCTCCGATTTTCTACACAAACACCTTGTAACAATTGCACAGTTCATCCATTGAATAAACACAGGCATTAATATCCCTTCACATACATTATTATGAACACAGTGTACAGTCAAACAATACTGCTGAACAATATCTTTTCTCCAACTGTTGTCACGTGACTTTTTTTTTTTTTGCTTTAACCTGAATTCCTAACCTATTTTAAACCTGCCATTTTTTCACACATTAATGGGAAGCATTCTTTTCTCTCTCTCTGAGTTTCCCCCTCCCTTTAGTAGATGAACTTTAAATGCAATAGTGTGCTCATCCTGACTGACCCCGCCTGCTGTGAGTAATTGTCTAGAGGAGAATAGGAGAATCTAAGAGCTTTTGTGAAAGGGAATAGAGAAGACAGACATTATTATGATTCTAAATCTGAAGCTCTCTCCTTTTCTTCTCTCTCTCCTTTTTTCAGAAGGGAGGAGGGGGCTAACAGATGTTTCCCATCACAACTGGTGTTTGAAAGACACAGCAAAATTGAGTGTATCAGTATCACAATTAGTTTCACAGGCGGCTAATAACTTACTTGCCAGCCATGCCTGATTTAATCGGGACAGTCCTGATTTATGGTTGTTTGTCCCAGTGTCCGATTTTCTCTGCCAGCTCCATCAGAAGGAGATACATGCAGCCTGCTTCTGCACTCTGTCAGGGCTGTTGGTTCACTAGGGTGGACTGGGTGCTTAGGGCAGAAAAAAAAAGAGAGAGGAAGTTCAAAATTAGTAGTAAGGAGTCCTCCAACAAAACTTAAGGAACATTTCCTTGCTGCAAGCACAAAGAGCCTAACATTAGTCCACAGCAGCATCCACAATTACCTGAACTGGCTTGTACTTATATCAAGATAGCTTACACTGATCTACAGTGAAGCACCGTGACCACGTAGGTGGGCTCCCCAGGGCAGGTGATTGTCTCTAATATGTCCTCCATAGGAGGTCTATATTGAGCAGATTTTTTTTTTTGGTGCTAGGTGGTGGAACTGGAGCTTGCTCCATCCACTCCATGCATTGACCTGGTATTGCAGTGCTTCCAGGACCGGTGCAAAAAAACAGAAAAAAAAAAAAAAAGGCCTCCACTGACACAAATTAGAGGAACCTCCAGGGTTAGGGTCACAAGGTGATTTTCACTTCATGTCATCTCAAATCTGCAAAGCCCTAAGTTTCTGCTGGTGAGGCTTCTGTCAACAGTCCCAAATTATGCATGGCTCATTTCTGTGAAGTGATCTACTGCTGTTGGTCATTAGGGACCAAGCCAATACCAAGACCATCCAATTAATTTTTCTTAGGACTACAAGCTGATGTAGAGAAAGTTCCATCAGGAAGATGTTGGTTCGTGCTTTGCTCATCCAGCAACTCCATGCCTCAGAATTGAAAAAAAACGTTCCTGAGAAGCTAAGCAATGAGTTGTTCAGCAGATCAAATGTAGCACTTAACACGAGACCTGAGATAGCACTTATCCTGTTTACAGATTTAAATAGTCTATAGGAGGTTTTTAAACACAAACTGGGTGCACCATTATTTCTTCTGTTTCAACAAAGCACCACAATTCTTCCCCTTGTAAAATACAGGAAAGTAAGCCAAGAAGATGCATCACCTCGTTAGGAGAATTTCTGAAGGAAGGACATAAGATGTATATACCCCCAATATATCTGTAACAAATAGAGCTGGCTGGGTATGGCCACCACTGAACATGATAAAAACTCTCACATCAGGGAAGTACTCCCCTTAACCATCTGCCAGGCCAGTTCATAGCTCAGCTGCAAGCCTCTCCCTAAAATTACAGAAAGATTATATGGTGAGGCTGGGGTTGTGCTAACACCACTACCTATCATGCTGGTCAATCTTGTCTCACTATTCCTTCTGCCACCTGGCTGTATCCATCTTGTCTTTCACATTAAACTTAGATTGCAAAGTATTTGGGGATTTTTGTTGTTGTTGTTCACTGTTCCTACAGAGCCAAGCACAAGTAGGATTCTGGTCCATGACTAGGGCTTCTTGACACTGCCGGAAAAACAACGATTATAATTAATAAACTTAGGGCTCCAGTTAGTATGGTAGTGAGTAACACATTCAGGCTGAGTGAAAATATGCACCGTAATTAATATTAATAACATCTTCAGCCTGAGAACAGATAGGTTTTGCTTCATTCTGAAAAAATTATTCTGGAAAATTATTTGTATCCTGTTTTTTAAAGAAATGTATTACACTTGTGCTCAGAATTAGCTAGGATGGACACAGAAGATAACATAGTTCTTGCTCTGAGGAACCTAGGGTGTTTATATACACGTGCTCTGGGAGCAGAGGGAAGAGGGGTGCTTCTGGAGCATGTTGTGCATCAGTGTCTCTAACCTGAAAAATGGCAGTGGGGGCACTTTAACTAAAGCTCATTTGACAAGCTTTAGTTAAAGCACCCCTGCTGCCATTTTCAGGGCAGGAACGCTGATACACGAGACGCTGGAGTCCACTGAAGCACAGTAATTACCATGCTCCGGCAGATGTGATTAATCTACACCCTAATTACAGCATGTCAGAGTAGCCATGCTGCCCATGTATCGGTGCCCCTACAGTCCCGGTAAAAAACCAACACAGAACACAGGGTGGGAGTCAAAGGAAGGCTGTATGTTTGGTAATGGTTGAATACCTATCTTTTTGTCTGATACAAAGTGATGCTCATGTGTTTCATGAAAGAAATGATTTTTAAGGAGAGATTTGAAAGGCAAGAGTTGGAAGCATAGCATGCCAGGACAGGGAGCAGTCTCCACTCATAGAAAGGATAAGGAGAGAAGACTAAAACAGAAATTAGGCTTGAAAGGACAAATCATGCTAAATCCATGCTCACTCTTTACCTGCAAGCCAGACATCATGCCTTTGCTGATGAAGCCAAGCTGCAAAATTTGGATGCAGATCCATATTATGAGCACTTTTCCCAGGCATCTATGAGTGTTAGGATCTGGGATATTGGTTTGACACGCTGTAAACAGCTGGCTAGATGTGAAATTCAGATCTGGATTCAGGTTTTCGGATCTGACAAAAAATGGATGCGTCTGCGCTCTCTCTCTTACACACACACGCACATCCGCACGTACCCCAGCCTCTGAATTTTTTGCACCATTTGTGTTCAGGAACAAGATTTTACTTGGGCTACTTTCTAGAAGTCAGTGTAATTTTCTTGTTTCCACCACAATAATGTCAGTGTTTACAGAACAGCAAATTCAGTATATTTTGGTTATCAGCAATAATTAAAAATAAAAATCTCTGGTAATTATAAATTCAGATTCTTGGGGAAATAACAGTAATATTGTTGCCTTCCTGTAGCATCTTGTATATAAAGATACAAAACCTTTTGTGAATATTAATGAATAGTCACATGTGATAGATAAGCATTACTCTAATTTTATTCCTATTTTATATTTTTTAACACTGAGTTACAGAAAGGTTACAGGAGTTTCCCTTGGTCACAAAGCAATCTAGGCAGTGCTGGGATTAGAACCAATCAATGTATTTTCTGTTTTGCTTTATCCTTAGATCATGCTCCTTCCTTGTGTGCCCAACTTGTGTAGCATCAAAATGTTCTTAACATATTTTCAATCCTTTATTGATATCCACATACTGAAATGACAGAAATAATAGCATTTGACTCCCAGTTCCAATATAATTTTTATTTGGTTCCTTCATCTAAGGAGCTTTTGAGCTGTAGCATAACGTGATACATATCTAAACCCAAGACTTACCTCAGATACCCATGAACTTTGGTGCAGAAACTCCTATCTAATTTCAGAAAGACAAGGTAGCCATTTCCCACTAAAGACCTTAAGAAAGAGACCAGAGTGTGTAAAGTTGTTCTTATGAATCACTTTATTCGTGGCATTACTTCTTACACCCTCATTTTTTTCCTCTCTGTTTATACAAAGACAGACCAAGTTCAATTATATCAGAACAAGTCAACCACGATGCTCATTAAGCAGTTAATACACATACACACATACAAAGAGAAAATGTGGTGGGGGGAAGGCAGCAGTCTATCCGTCTCACTTGGCATGTTTATATGTTCTTTTTAACCATAAAAAAGGAAGCCTGTTTACAAAGTGGAGTGTCAGTAACATTGTGTAAAGGAACACTTATCTGAGAAACTTTGATCTTTTTCTGAAGCACCATTACTCTGAGACTAAAAGGCTAATGGCTCTTTGGGTGGGAGAAAAAGTTTTTCAACAAAAAAAAAAAGAAAGAAAGAAAAAAAAAGAAGGAAGTTTATTGTGCTATCTAGTCGACACATTTAGACAATCCTACTACTCAGAAATAAGCTGTGGCAATGTCACTGATAGGCTTATCCCACATCCCACAGGCTGCTGAACAGGGATGAAATAACAAGCTGTTGGGGCCTACTGTAATGGGATAGTTGGGAGGTTGGTACTCTAGGGCAGGCCTGTTATCTCACTCATTTAAGTAATGGACATATTAATAGAGCTGAGAGCTAAACCAGACACATAGCCTGTCTATTGGATCTAATGTTTTTCATTTGCAGACTCTGGGCCACATTTTTCAATACTTATTCACATGTCTGGGCTCTTGGGTGCATAAGGATAACTTGTATCAGAGGGGGTCACAGGATCAGACCCCAAAATGTCTAGTGAAGATTGAAAAAGAATAATGTGTATGCTCCTCTTAAAATGATCCTGGACATCTATGACCTGAAAAGAGCTTCCTAATATCAGGAGGAACAGGAATACTGTTAGAACTACTTCATTTTAGGTAGTTTAGTATTTGTAAAAGAAAAAGGAAATACAAATTCCTTCTTGAGACTTTTCTCCTCAACTTACTGAGCTTCCCAGAAGAACTGAGATTCTCAGCCATTCCAGTTATGAGAAAAGATTTCAGACTTCTCTCCAAACTTGTTAACTTCTCCCTGAAAAAGATATTTATTTGAAAAAATCCTGGAAAGATATTTATGGGAAAAAAAGTTATAAAAAAATAAACATAAAATTAAGCATAATACTTCATCACACACAAACAGCTCATGTCACTAGTCCTTAACTTACATGGATACTACTGCTCTCCATTTTAGGCCTCTGTGCCATTACTGTTCCTGAACTCCCTAATCTGTTCTTTAAGACCCTGATCCGAAGCCTGTTGAGAGCAAGGAGTCTCTCCAATAATTTCAGTGGTCTGTGGACCAGGCCTTAATGGCCAAGTCCTTCCTTCATGTGCTTTACATTTTTGCATTTTGCTTAACGTCCTCACCTTCCATTGACTTATTTCTTATATATTATTTCACTACTGCTACCATGACACAGTTATCCTTTAAAACATCCAATCCTATTGTATAAATGTATACACACTCATACATACTTGCATCGGAAGACACAATATGTAGATAAGCATCTTTTTAAGTTGTCTGTTTTGTCAGAGCAACCATTTTAAAAGATGGACTATAAAACATGAGTTCAGTGTAAGTGTGAAAGAAATTCCAGCAGCTTCAGAAAAGTGTGATTTATAAGAAAGTGGAGGAAATTAGAGTAGGGAAGCAGAGTATGTTACCATCCTGTAACTGCTTTTCTTATTTTGCTATGTTGTCAGACGGTGGCCCACGTATAAAGTATATGTTTTAACTCAAATCTGCTAATGAATGATACAGCTGTTCTGTCACAAAATGGCAATTTATGCCTTCCTTTAAAAAAAAAAAAGAAAGAAAAACTGTTCTTAAGCCACCATATTTTTTGCGAGAGATAAATAAGGAGTATGTTATTGCAGGGTGTTTAAAATAGATGATATCACACTCGGGAACCAAGATGAAGTATGCTTCTATCTGCCATAGCCTTGAAACATTTACAGAGAGCCTTTTAATGGAGATTTAGTGCATATGTAATAACACAGTATTTGATCCCCTCTAGGAAAAAATACCCAATACTCTCTTAACAACTGCAATTATTGTGCAACTCGTATCTAAAATGAATAAACTGGGATTCAGGTCATGAATAAAGTTTATTAACCAAGTTGCAAGGCTGTGAGAACATGTTCTCTCATCTTTTTGATCATCCACACACGCTTTCATTCGAAAGTCAGTTTTGTCACCCCTGTCCTTTCCTCCTTTTCTACCCTCCTTAGGAGACATAACCATTTGCTAGAAGCCCAGGAGTGATTGAAATGCATGTGAATCAAAAAAAAGATTTTTTTACATCATCCCTATCAATAAAGAAACTGCAGAACCATCTACAAAAAGAAAAAAAATTAAAGGCACCTTGCTAGTAATATGAACAGCGACTTGTTGTCAATACACATTCAGCACTTGAGCAGTGCTAGTGACATCTTGTGGTAAAAGAGAGTGACACTTCTTCTTTACACTTTCTCTGCAAGAGCACAAGCTGTCCATAAACATCAAGCCATGTCATTACTCATACATCAGCAAGGAGACATCTGGGATTTTGATAACTGCTGCCAGAATCTACTAATGCAAACTGCTCTAACTTTTTCCCCCTTTCTTGGCTGTAACACCATTCACTACATTGCCAGCTTCTCCATCTCTCTTCAAAAGCCCTTGAATTGGAAACTGCTTGTTTTCTTTGAATCACAGTGTACCTGTTAAGTTAATGTTGGATAAAAAAAAACATTCCTTAAAACAGTTTCAAGGGAAACTTTGCAGAAGGAAGTGTTTGCCTTTATACTCCATTTCCAGAGCCTTGCAGCAACAGAGTTAAGAGAGTCACTTGCATTAACACACTTGCCCTCCATCAGAGCAGTGGGACTGAGGGAAGGCAAGGACACCCGCATCTTCTAATTTCTTATAGAAACCTAATTCTGATGTAAACTATTTTAAAAAGCTGAAGAAGAATAATATAGTCTACCCAGCGCCTGTCTAGTTTCTGGGTCATATTTGCTCCTGGGGAGAAGGCTTTATTTAGACAAAGTAGGTGAGGATGAGATACCTTTTATAGGGCCAACATGGATTACAATGCATGTGGGTTTTGGCTTATATAAGCCTGTCCTCAATGTGTTTTTTTATGTTGATGCTTACCAAAGTCTTTCAGATAAAGAGCTTCATTCATATCCTTGCTTCTTCCAGGAATCAACTGGAGAATCCAGTGGACATGGGCCTCCTCTGGTAGAAAGTCCATGTGCCAGATGGGCTGAGACAGTTGTAACCACTATCAGAATCTATGCTGTGGGACAGCCCTATGGTAGAGATGGTAGGAAAAAATAAGAACACAAGTTTCACTCCATCAATGCTGGCCAAAAGTGGGAAGGGCTGGCTGGGGTGAACACCTTCTGCTAATAGGACTCATATGGAACCCAAGCTATAAACTGTAGTTTGCCTTTTCTGATGGTATTCCAATACTGCCATCTGCTCTCTCCATACAGGAAAGAAAACTGCTAGCACAGCTGCCTCCACAGGTGCAGGGAGATCTTAAATGCATTCCCCCTTACTTGCACTAGGGTGAGCTAAGTACAAGATGTATAAATATAACGTGCACTGGGCTCTACTTAGCAGTCAGCCCATGTAAACAGAGTGGGCCGGATTCTGATACTTTCTACCCGTCTACATCTGCTCAAAGCAAAGTAAATAATCAAAATTCCCCATTCACAGTAATGGTAACATTTTACACATGCGCGTGCGCACGCAGAAACAAGACAAGGTGAAATTTGGAGGAAAATCAGGCCCTCCGCGTACTGGGAAAAAATGCATTCTTTGAAGTCAATGGATTCATACTACAGATCAATTTGGCTCATTTTCACTGCTCAAAAACGTTGTTAAAAGCAGAATTAAGAGTGACCAGGAGCCTCACATCCCTGTCCACAGTGCAGCATACACCTACATTTTATTATAAATGTCTAAAAACCATGAAATAAGCAGTTAGGAAGCCAGCTTCATACCGCGCACTTAACTCTGCTTCCAGGCAAGAGCTACTGGAGAAAACAACAAAAGGATGTTTCAGCCATGACCTCCCTAATATGTAGAAGACAGGGTAGATTTGTGCCTTACAGACTGACTAAATCAAGAGATGTATAACATAAGCTTTAAGAGCCCAAGCCCACTTCATCAAAAGATATGAAAGGAATGCTGAATACGTGCTATTTTACGTATTGTGCTGTCCCCCACAGAATGGTGTTTATGAGATATGTGAATGTGCACATAGACATTTTAGCCTTTTTGTCTGTTGAATCTGTGGATGGCAACTAATTCTTAGGTGTACTTCACGTTCAAAATATATTCAGTGCTAGCCAGCATAGCAGCACTCTTACCGAGTCACCTTGTTTGGGTGCATTTGGATGAACACAACAGTGTTCTTTCATTCATCTGCATGTACTTTGAATTCTCCTTGCTTCTTAAGGATCAATTTGTGCTTTCCATTGCTGGCTTTACTGTGGTGAAGTGGTAATGCCACCCCATCACAGATAAAATTACTCCAGGATTTCCCTTTTAATATGGAGAAAAAAAAAAAAAAATCAGTGATTTTTAAACTTTTTTGTTGTGTTGTGTTTTGTTTTGTGCAACATTTAATTTTTCTGTAGCATTTGGAGGGGATGTTATTTGAGGTTTAGTGTGATTGAGACTAATTTTTTTTCTAGTATTTGACATTTCCATTGTAACCCAAGATGCTACAGAACTTTCAGGGGTGACACTGGTGTGAACCCCTAGTTATGTAGATTGAATGAAATATTTTAGAAAGCAGTCCTTAGTCAGTATTTTAGAACTATTGTTTTCTATGTTTTTATCTAATGATAAACCTGTTTTGACTGATGAAAATATTGTGTTGCCACATTAACCAGCATTAGAAGACTGGTTTAATATAGGTGCACTTATCTGACACAACCCTTTTGATCATGTGGACTCTGATACAAGTTGAAGCTACTTGCTTTTCTTTGATCACTCTCAGTCCCATTATTCAAAAAACACACGAGGAACCTATAGCATAATCACATTCTGAAGCTGCCACTTTTATCTTTCCTCCATTTAAATTGTTGGCACTTTCCTTGACAATACCTCTGTGGCAAAATCTGAATATACCTGTGGATTTTAGACTACTTTGAAATAACATTTAATCAAAATGCTTTCTTCTTATGGCAAAACATTTAAAAGATCCTCTGTACAATAGACATTTCCAGAAAGCTGTAAGGGACAGGGACTAAACTCACAGTACATGAGTATTGTCCAGGATCAATGGCTACATTCTGACACATTTTGCTACCCAAGTACTCTAAAGCAGTGATTTTCAATCTTTTTTCATTTGTAGATCCCTAAAAAAAATTGAGTGGAGGTGCAGACCCCTTTGAACTGTAAATGTAGGTATTCATATACTTTTGATTGATCATAGTCATTTTTCATGAACACCTTAGACAGTCCGCAGACCCCCAAGGTCCACAGCCCACAGGTTGAAAACCACTGCTCTAAAGTCCGGCTGACAGAAAACATTCTGATTTTCAACAGAGCACCACTCTTGCCACCCAGGCACAAATGATTCTCTCTTGCTCCTCCATATGCTTACAGCTATATTATAGAACCAGTATTTACTCTGAACATATAGTTTTTAAATATTACTTCCCCACAGGGGCTGGAGATTGTCAGAGATCAGTTCCATGTGGTCACACAAATGTGGGGAGGATCAGGGCTGCAGATGTGCCTGCAAAAACATATAAACCATGATGTTTTAATGTGATTTACCAAGAGGGGATATATTCAGGAACCTCCTGCTGAAATGACTCTCTCTATCCCTATTCCCATGAGTCATAGCAATTTCAAGACAATTCAGGTATGCATGTCAATGTTAAAGCACTTTAAAAAATAGGTTGATAAGCAAGTAGTATCTCAACTATCCTGACATTACCAACCTACTAAAATATTTACTTACATTTTTAAAATGCTTCTGTAGATGCATATCCAGAATACTAGTGTCAGTGGATGCAACATGCCCCGCAGCTCTTCCTGAGAGCCATTGTCCACTTCCTTCTGGGTAGTTAAAGTCATGGGGGACTTTAACTACCCAGCCATTTTGTGGGAGGAGTGCTCAGCCAAATCTGAGTGGTCGCAAAGCTTTCTCTCGTGCATGGATGACCTCTATCTGATGCAGGAAGTCTACGGGCCGACAAGAGGCAAAGCGCTGCTTGACCTCGTACTGGCAACCGGGGATGACCTAATCAGTGACCTAACGGTCGAAGGGAAGCTGGGTGACAGTGACCATGAGCTGATCACCTTCACCATCTGCCGGAAATCTGGCAAGTCAGTCAGTAATACAGAAATCCTCGACTTCAGGAAAGCTGATTCTGACAAGCTAAGGCAGCTTGTCAGAGAGGCCCTAAAGGGCCACAACCCAAAGGAGAGGGGAGTTCAGGACAAGTGGTTGCTCCTCAAGGGAGCAATCCTGGATGCGCAAGCAAAGTCCATCTTGGAGAAAAGGCAGCAGAAAGGCACAGCAGCCCCCTTGGCTCTCCAGGGAACTGGCGGACTTCCTGCATCTTAAAAGGAAGACCTACTAAGGATGGAGGACTGGAACCACCACCAAGGAGGAGTACTCTGCTCTGGTCTGGACCTGCAGAGAGCAAACCAGGAAAGCCAAGGCTGCGATGGAACTCCAGCTAGCTACAAATATCAATGACAATAAAAAGTCCTTCTTTAGATATGTGGGGAGCTGGAGAAAAAGCAAAGGCAACATTGGACCCCTGCTCAGATGGGGCAGCTGACAACCGATGCCCAGGAAAAAGTGAACTTGCTAAATGGGTACTTTGCGTCAGTTTTTCACCAGTCCCATGGGATGCCCCTGCCCACTGTGGGTCAGTGTGGCCTGGGTGAGGGAGATTCCTTGCCCTCCATTGAAGCTGACCTCATGAAGGAACACCTTGACAGGCTGCATACCTTCAAGTCAGCTGGCCCCGACGGGTTATACCCAAGGGTACTCAAGGAGCTGGCAAGCATCATAGCTCAGCCCCTGGCACAGATTTTTGAGAGCTCTTAGCGCTCTGGTGAAGTGCCCAAAGATTGGAAGAGAGCCAATGTCGTGCCTATCTTCAAGAAAGGGAGGAAAGTAGATCCAGCAAACTACAGGCCCATCAGCCTGACCTCTGTCCTGGGGAAGGTCTTGGAAAAGATCATCAAAGAGGCCATCCTTAACAGACTAGCTGAAGGCAATATCCTGAGGGATACCCAGCATGGGATTGTTATGGGTAGGTCTTGCTTGACCAATCTCATTTCCTTTTATGACCAGGTGACCTATCACCTGGACAAGGGGGAAGAGATTCACATTGTATATCTTGACTTTAAAAAAGCCTTCAATTTGGTATCCCATGATCACCTCTTGGCTAAACTGGCTAACTGCAGCCTCAACCTCACCACAATCTGCTGGCTGGGGAATTGGCTCCGCGGTAGGACCCAGAGGGTGGTGGCTGACGGGAGCCAATCGTCTTGGTGCGTGGTCACCAGTGGGGTCTCTCAAGGCTGTGTCCTAGTGCCTACACCATTTAAAATCTTCATCAATGATGTAGGCATTGGTGTTAGAAAAAGACTGGCCAAGTTTACTGATGACACCAAACTCTGGGGTAAAGCATCCACACCTGAGGACAGGAGAGTGATCCAGGCAGATCTTGACAGGCTCATGAAATGGACAGATGAGAACCTGATGGTGTTCAGCACCGAAAAATGCAAGGTTCTCCACCTTGGGAGGAAAAACCTGCAGCATGCTTATAGGCTCGGCAGTGCTACGCTGGTTAGCACTACAGATGAAAGGGACTTGGGGGTTATGACTGACCACAAAATGAACATGAGCCTTCAATGTGATGCCACGGCTAGTAAAGTGAGCAAAATTCTGGGTTGCATCCACACATGCTTCTCAAGCAAATCCCGGGACGTCATTCTCCCTTTGTACTTGGCCTTGGTGAGGCCGCAGCTCGAGTACCGTGTCCAATTTTTGGGGTCCACAATTCAAAAAGGTTGTGGAGAAGCTTAAGAGGGTGCAGAGGAGAGCCACGCGCATGATCAGAGGTCAGGAAAACAGACCTTATGATGAGAGGCTGAGAGCCATGGTACTCTTCAGCCTGGAAAAGCGCTGGGGTGATCTGGTGGCCACCTATAAGTTTATCAGGGGTGTTCACCAGAGCGCCCCAAGAGATGACAAGATCGAACAGGCACTAACTCTGCCACGACCGATTCAGGCTGGACATACGAAAGAACTTCTTCACTGTCTGAGCCCCCAAGGTTTGGAACAGACTGCCACTGGAGGCAGTTCAAGCACCCACTTTGAACACCTTCAAGACAAATTTGGATGCTTATCTTGCTGGGATCCTATGACCCCTGCTGACTTCCTACGCCTGGGGCAGGGGGCTGGACTCGATTAAAACTATGATATGAAAACTATGATATTAAAACTATGATAAAGCTTCTAACTTCTTTTTACTTGGAGAAAAATGTGTTGCATTGTATTTGGTGATGCACCTCCCTTTTCAAAATCCCAGATCTGCCCACAAATACAACCCAGTACAATGGGTAGTTTTTGCTCCAGCTAAAGGATTACTGAAGAAAAACCAATTGACTATAGCTGTGTATGCAGATGAAAGGAGCAAGGAAAATTGAGAGATACACAGTAGTTTTGGTGCTGAATGTTACAAAAGGGTTCGACTATATGCAGCTCTGTTCTGGTATGTGATAAAAACTATTTTCCTTTTCCCGTTGTCCCAAGAACTGCCATGTCATAAGAAAGACAGCTGGATAACTAACGTGTGGATATCTATTATTTAGTGAGAGTTATTTGGATAAAATTATTTCTTTCCATATCGAGGAAGGAAACCATTTTTTATTTTTTTTCTACCATAAAGGTAACCATCTTGCTCCTCTTTGATTTCAAAGAGAATTTTGTCACTGATTTTGATGAAGAAAAGGTTAGGACTTGCTTACGTCCTGTATTAAGCTCCATGAAGTAAATGGGAAACTTAAATGGGCTTTGGATCAGCTCTTACCAGAGAAGATTTAACATAGGCAAATGTATCTACCTAGATTTGAAAGTGTATTCCAAGTAAGTCTTATGAGATGGTATGGAGGTAGAACTCCATTTCTCCCTCTCATTCCTCTGTGTGTATCATTCCTGCGTGTATCAGGAGGCATATCTACATGATCAATTAATGTGCTTTAGGTAATGCATATTAGATCTAGTACCTCCATTTTGAGGCACTAGAAAAATGTGCATTGACCTATTTGAATGTGCATTAGCTGAAGAGCACAGTTTTTTTGTGATGCTTGCATGCACATTAAAATAGGCCAATGTGCATTAGAGCCAGGGAAAGTAAAATCTACTCTTCAATAGGGTTGTGCGAAACACTATCATTTTGTCATGACATCCATTTTGCTGTTTCATTTCATCGTTTCATTTCAAAGCACCGTCCCATTTCGTTTTGTCGAAACTGTTTCACTGTTTTGACGCATTTTGACGTTTTGCCCATAGGCTATAATAGGGAATCATGAAAGTGCCTAAAACATTGTCATTTCTTGCCTGATTTGGATGAAAATTGCAGTGATAGTAACCCCTTCTGAGTGCAGGAAGCCTGCCAAATTTCAAGGAGATAGGCGCAGAGGTTTCTGAGAAACTGCACCTCAAACTATTCAAAACACAACTCCTGACACTTGGCAGCAGCGGCAGCCTTCTCTCATCCAGCGCACAGATCTGGGGGCCTACACACCTGGGAGGGCTGCGGGGCTGTGCTGGACTCCTCATGGGGGTGCAGAGCCATGGATATGTGCACCCGATGAAAGGAAGCTGTCTGAGAAGATTGTTGCTGCCGCCTGTCCCAGGAGGCAGTGGCAGCCTCCTTATCTAGTGCGCAGATCCAGAGGCTTGCACCTCTGGGAGGAGTCCAGCACAGCCCCGCAGCCCTCGCAGGGGTGCAGGCCCCCAGATCTGTGCGCCGGATGAGAGAAGGCTGCTGCTGCTGCCTGGGACTGGCACTGAAGCCAAGTAAGCCCAGCTATGAAACACGAAACGTTTTGAAAGCCCTTATTTTGTTTCAAAGCTGTTTTGAAGTCTTTGGTTTTGTTTCAATGTTGCTGTTTCGACCTCAAAATGCCCCAAAACAGCTTTGAAACAAAACACTCAGTGAAATTTTGCACAGCCCTACTGTTCAATGACTGCTACTTCTTTTTTTGGACTGTTATGTGAATGTCTTTGAACAGATCAAGTTAACTTTGCTGTTCCAAATTTGAAAATCCAGATGGGTTGCTCAATTGTGTTTGTTCTTATAAACCAGAAAGTATTTCAATTGCACAACTTGAAAAGTGACTCTTCTACTGA